TGTTTGTGAAGAAGGAAGACTCTCTCTCTTGCTCTAATTCACCAAAACTCAAGGCTCTCTGCTCTAATCTCTCTGGAAAATGCTCAGCCCCTGTCCATGGCTGTCTCGCGTGGGCGAGACAGTAAAAGTCTGTCTCGCCCGCGAGACAGTAAATACTGTCTCACGTGGGCGAGACAGTAAAAGTCTGTCTCGCCCGCGAGACAGTAAAGACTGTCTCGCACGGCGAGACAGTCAAATCTGTCTCGCGTGCGAGACAGTAAAGACTGTCTCGCGTGCGAGATAGTCTATACTTGTGTTCTTTTTTTTATATTTTGGATGACTTCCTTTTGAGCTGTGTTTGGATATCTCTCAGCATTTTTTGATGCCTACAGGGGATAGAGGAGAGGAGGAGGAGGACGATGGTGCGCTGGAGGGAGAGAGGAATAGGAGAGGAGGAGGATGGGGAGAGGGAGGGGATGAATTTTTTTTGAAAATTTTGGGTATAAATTTAATAAATTTGGGAGATAAGGGAGTTAAAACAAATTTTCTCGTCGGAATTTTGAGAAAATGGTCTTATTGACAAAAAAGACGAGATTAAATGCCTTATCGTCGCCGGAGTTTTAAAAAATACCAAACGAGCAAAATGCCTTATCGTCAACATATCGACCGGACGAGATTAAATGCCTTATCGTCGACATCTTGACCGACGGGAGAGATAGCCAGAGATCAGGTAGCAAACCGACTCAGCCGACTTCATCAATGTCGACACGAAAGGCGGTACCAGTCGGCCCTCTCGCAGCAGGAAACTCGCCAAGAGACTAGTCGACCCAGTCAAGTCGATACTCTTCCATGTCGACTCGAAAGGCGGGACGAGTCGTCACCCGACTCCATTCATCCATCAATCCTTGAGTCATCGCTCCTCTTAACGAGTCGACTCTCCTCGCGAGTCCCATCATGAGAGACATTGCTTCTTAGCGAAGTTAGAAAATAACTTCGCCAAAGCTTATCCATCCTGACAACAAGTCATATCATGTCTACGCAAAGACCATACGTCATCACGCCGCTTATCAGCCAACGTCACATCGATCACTCCTCAAATCGAGGCTGAAGTGATCTTCCTTTTGTCGCTAGCCGATATATGTAGAGCAAATGATGACTCACCTTCCAGCTCGCACTTTGTCACCGTCATTTGCATGGCCGAAGTGACCAATCTGCCATTGACATCCTCTTTATATACATATGTTATCCGCCATAACCAAATGTTAGCAATCAAAACTCTCCTTCTGACCTAAATCTCAGAGATAATCATCTCTAATACACATAACATAAGAACACATAATTCTATTACTCCACTCAAGCTCAAGTTCATCAACTGACTTGATCGTCGGAAGGCCCCACCTAGGGCTGTCCATCCGGGCCGGCCCGGCCCGGCCCGGCCCGGGAAACCGGGCCCGGGCCGGGCAAAACCCAAGCCCGGACCCGGGCCTGAGCGGGCCGGACACCGGGCCGGCCCGGTTTGTTTTTTTATAAATTTTTTTATTTTTTTTATTTTTTTTTAAAATTTTAACAAAACCATAAATCATAAATTATTATAAAAAATGTCATAAATTTAATTAATAACTTGAAATGAAATGACATAAATTACAAGTACAAAAAATGATAAAAATAACTTCTTTATTAATAATCGGTAAATCCTTTACAAGTATAAATTTATTTCGAAATTCGTCGCATCACAATAGATGAGTACATCCCAACTAGGTTGGCACCTACTCACCCATATCACTATCATTTGCAACTTTTTTCGAAATAATTTAATTCAAATTTAAAGCTAAGAAATAAAAATTATAATTTTATTAATATTATCTAATCATTATATCTATCTGCTAGTCCCAACTCTTCAAATTTATCTTCAATCATAGTAATCCGTTCGATGCCTTGTGTTCGCTTCTCGTATCTCCACCAATCCTGTAAGCACATCACCGCTTGTACAGTATACGGATCTAAGCATGTCCTGTGGTCGTCGATCAAACGTCCTGCTGTGCTGAAAGCGGATTCCGAGGCTACAGTCGAAACCTGCACTGATAGTAAGTCACGAACCATGGTGGAAAGTATAGGATATGAAACTGATCCATATACTTTCCACCATTGCAAAATATCTAAAGCATTTCCTTGACATTTAACTAAGGAAGCAGATAAATATTCGTCTATTTCAGAAACCTCTAATCCTGATGAAGTTCCAGATCCACCAGTTAGTTCAGCTACCATTGCATACCTATCAAAACTTACACTTTTACCTCGACCTGTGCTCGAAGCTGAAGGTGCCGAAGCTGAAGACTGTTGTGTAGCTACACCATATCTAGCTGCATACTCATCATATAAGGTTTGAAAATAATTTCTAATAGCTACATAATGAGTAGTAGCAGTAAGGGTGGATCCATCATCTAAGTCTATAATCTGTCCACCATACAATGATTGTAACAAACTTCGAAGGCCAATTTCCTTCAAGCATGGATCAATAAGAACACCAATACCAAAAATATGAGGAATAGGCCTAAAATACTTATTAAATTTACTCTCCATTTGAAAAATTATATTTCCAAAAGTATCATCCATACGATATTTTGCAAAAAATTTTTGAATATTTAAAATTTGTAAAGCAGCTAAAGTAATAGTTGGATAATAACAACCAGATAATAACATAGTAGCATCATAAAAAACTTGTAACATCTCATTTAATTTACATATAACTGTCCATTCATCTTCAGTTATTCCATAAGCACTACCAGAGCTAGAACTAGAAGCATAAAAATTTATAAAATCATTTATAATTTCTTTATATTCTATTGCTACAGATAACATTGCATAGGTGGAATTCCACCTATGGTCAACATCTTTTGGAATTAGTCTAGGCTTATAATTTTTTCTTTTACAACATTGTTTCCATCTTTTAATTCTCATTTCAGAAGCATTATGCATATTAGTAACTGTTCTAACTTTTTCTATCATGGGTTTAATTTCAGAAAATGCACTTTGAACAATTAAATTTAAAATATGACAGATACATCTAACATGAAAAAGCTCACCATGACATGGCAATGACAAAGTTATTTTCAGAAAATCAACAGCTACATTATTATTACTTGCATTATCTAGTGAAAGAGTAAATATTCTTTGATCAATTTCTAGTTTCATAAGTTCTTCAACAATTAAATTTGCAACATTAATACCAGTGTGTGACTCTTCAATTGCAATAAAAGAAACAACTCTTTTAAACATTTTCCAACTTTCATCAATCCAGTGTGCTGTTATACATAAATAACCAGTTTGCACTCTAGATGACCAAATATCAGAAGTTAAACAAAATTTGCAGTTTAAATTTTTAAAATAAGAAATTATTTTTCCCTGTTCCTCAACATAATATTTTAAAATATCACGTTGACAGGTTTGACGAGAAATTTTTGTAAATGCAGGATAAAAACCATCTCTAAACAAATCTTCAAATTAATCATCTTCTACTAATTTAAAAGGAAGGTTTTTAAGAACAATAAACCTGATTACGCATTTCCGGGCTCGGGCAGCGTCATAATTCCAACTGCCGAGGGTACCTGAAGAGGATGATTGGGAAAGCATAGACTGCCGGATATCACCTTGTAGATTTTGGCCTTTGTTGTGTTTTTCAATATGCCGTTTGAGATGGTTGGTGCCGCTCTTATGATGAGCTTTGAATATCTGGCCGCACAACGCACATTTCGCATTCTGAGAGATGATCCTACCGTGTTCATCCTTGGTGACGTCTATCTTCTCAAAAAAATTCCATACATCAGACCTCGGCCTTTTTGGAGCTCTTGGTGCCGTAGATTCGTCGCCACCAGATTCAGGATTAACACCGGTAGGATGAGGAGTTGTTGTAGGAGGACTCATCTCTGGATCGGTAGGAGTTGCATGTTGCTCTTCATAATCAGACCAGATATATAGAATATGGAGAAGATAATAAAAGAGAGAGAGTAAATAGATAAGGATAAATATACGATTTTATAGAGAGTAGTAAACAAAGAAAAGAATCTGATCTGATGAGCGATGCAAATTGAACCACTCCAAAAATTATAAAAAAAAAAGACAGCCCCTAAGAAAATCGAAATATAGTCGTTTTTTGACCGCAGTTTTAAGAAAACGGAAACAAGTCCAAATCTGGACACGGGCCGGGCCAGCCGGCCCGCCGACAAAGGTGCGAAAGTGTGTTCGCCCGGCGGGCTGGCCGGCCCGGACGGCCCGAACGGTCACGTTTGTGCCGTATTGGCGGACGGTCCGGCCATAAAAAAGAACACAGTGCCAATCTCTGGGCATGTTCCGGGCCGGCGGGCGAAAGGACTCGTCAACTCGCGACCGAGGCCCGGACCCGGGGTTTGCCGATTGTCGGGCCCGGGCCGGGCAGGCGACACCGGGCCGGGCCGGCCGGGCTTTTTGCACCTAGCCCACAAGACTATCACGAGAATTAAAACTTCTGTCACACCGCGTTACGACACGATATTGACTTCTGTGCCCACACCGTCGTGAACGATCTTCTTCGTGCACCACCCGCCTTCTCACGACCTCTTACCCTGCAGATCGCAACGATAAAGTGAGGAAGGAAGCCATCCCTCGGATCCCCTCCTCATCTTTCAGGTCACCCGCATTGCAATCGACCAGAGCAGCTAGGAAATACGGTCCAGGAAGCCGTCGAGAACCCGACTCCCTCGTCTACCCGCTACCCGCGGCCCTCCGCCATCGCCCATCCACCTCCACGGCCGATCCCCCCACCGCGCATGGCTCCACCCCTAACGAACCTCTCCGACCGTCGCCCGACGATCCCGCCCGCCGGGCCCACTCCACCCTGGCTCACCGCTACCCCATCGCCTCTCCCCTCCTGACACCGCTCTCTCCTTCTGCCGCCGATTTCCTCCTCTCTCTCCCTCCTCATCTCGCTCCTCCGCCTCCCTCCTCCCGCCACAACCCCGCTCCTCCGCTCTTCGTGGGCACGCCAGCCAATACGCCCACGAACCCTCCCCCCCTACCTCTCCCTCCTCCAAACCCTAGCCCTAAACCCTAACCCTAGCCCTGCCGTCACCAAAACCCTGTTCTCCGAAATCGTCGGAAGCCGACACACCCTCCTCTCCGGCCTCTCTCCGTCCAACTCCGTGACCCTGATTCAGTCCCTCGGGGCCGTCGGGCTCGTCGAGGAGGTTCTGTTGGTTTGGAGGTGGATGAAGGAGCGGAGAGTGGAGCTGAATGTCGTGCATTACAATTGTCTGATGGATTGTCTTGTGAGCTCGGGGCTTGTTGACTCCGCACACAAGGTGTTTGATGCGATGTCGGGTGTCAAGCCGGATGTTTTTTCGTACAATATAATGATTAAGGGGTACTATAAGGTTGGGAGAGTGCGAGATGCGGTGGTGAAGTTTGAGGAGATGGAGGAGTTGGGGTTAGTGCCGGATAAGGTTACGTATATGACTTTGATTCAGTGTTATTATGCGGAGGAGAACTTTCATCGGTGTTTGGTGATGTACAGGGAGATGGAGGAGAAGGGGTTGGAGGTCCCGTCTCATGCGATTAGTTTGGTTGTGAATGGGTTGTGCAAGGATGGGAAGCCGTTTGAGGGGATGGCGATTTTGGAGAAGATGGTGGAGAGAGGAGGCAAGGCGAATGTGGCAGTTTATACCGCACTTATGGACTCATTTGCAAAAGGTGGGAATGAGGAGCAAGCGATGGCGGTTTTTGATAGGATGAGGAGCGAGGGGTTTGAACCCGACGAGGTTGCTTATGGTGCCGTTGTTAATTGCTTGTGTAAGGCTGGGAAGTTGGAGAGAGCAAAGGAGTGGTTTGAGTATTGTAAAGAGAAAGGCGTGGGGGTCAATGTAGTTTTCTATACCAGCCTCATTGATGGGTTTGGAAAAGCCGGGATGGTTGATGAAGCGGAGAAGTTCTTCGATGAGATGGTGGATGAAGGGCTTGTTCCCGATACTTATTGCTACAATGTGCTTATTGATGCATTTGGGAAGGCGGGAAAGGTTGACAAAGCATGGAAGATGTTTAAGAGAATGGAGAAAGAGGGTTGTGATCAAACCGTTTATACGTACACCATTATGATTGATGGGTTATTTAAGAAGCATAAGAACGAAGAGGCACTCAAATTGTGGGATGAGATGATTGATAAAGGCATTACCCCTACCCCTGCATCATTTAGAGCTCTCTCAACAGGACTTTGCCTTTCGGGCAAATTTGACAGGGCTTATAAGATATTGGATGAATTAGCACCGATGGGAGTTATTCCTGAAACTGCCCATGAGGATATGCTTCATGTGTTGTGCAAAGCTAAAAGATATGCTCATGCGTGCAAGTTAGCTGATTCTATTGTGGATAAAGGTCGTGAAATTCCTGGAAAAGTGAGAACGATTATGATCAATGCACTTAGAAAAGCAGGCAGTGCTGATTTGGCGATTAAGATGGTGCATAGTAGGATTGGTATAGGCTATGACAGGTTCGGTAGCATCAAAAGGCGAGTGAAGTTCCAGACTCTCTTGGATACATAAAGAATCAGGAAATGCTGATTTGGTTAAATCCGATTCTTTGTAGATTGTCATAAGTTAGCAGGTTCGGTGGTGTTAAAAAGGAAGTGAAGTTTCAGGACTCCACTGGGTACATGGAGAATTAGACTGTCGATGCTTATATGAAGCTTCACTCTACACTCCACTTGTGTTTCCTGGCTAATCTGCAGCAACTTGCTATGAAGGATGACTAGACCTAGGGTCTCTAAAACATCGCTTTGGAGATAAATTTGGTTATTGGAGCTTATCAACTGAGAAAAAGTATGTTCATTGGTGGTTTATTGGGGTAGGTGGCCTTTGCAATAATAAGCCAGAAGCTTTTGACTGGACCCCTTGCCAAATCATGTTTATGATTTCTGCAGTTACTATTAGAGTCAACATTCTTTGGAATAAAGAGGATTAGCATTCTTGACTGAGATACTGCTTTAAGTTATTCAGTTGGATGGACCTTCAGCCAACTACTCCCACTTGAATATCTGTTTACTCCAAAGGCTGAAGTATGGGTACAGATCTTCATCTTACAAATCTCTAGAAGCAACTTTATCCGGTTTGACGGGGTAAATATCTTGATTATGGACCACAAGTGGAAGTTATGGAGCGGGTGCTGGATGCAATTCATGGATAATAAGGAGCAATAGCTGATCTTTTTAGTGGTATTTCAACTACGATGGGCAGAATCCTGTTAATTTGCATTTTCTGTCATAATTGGGAGCTGAAAGTATGTCATTGTATGTTCGATATGACTCCTTTATTTGTAATGGTCAAATTTTGGAATTAAAAAGAGAACTACTAAGACGCTGATTGGTTATTTTGTTTTCTTTGAAAGAAGTCCTCTTACATGTAATCCCTGGATTCAACTTTTTAGTCCTTTTTCTCAGTAGCTATTTCTATGATTGAAATATCTAACTATTATTGTTATTCCTTTTGTTTCCTGTTTTTCTTCTCAAAATTGAATTCATTAATTATCTTTTTCTGCAAACATTATTATATTTTGCAAACCATTATGGTATCGACAATTCATCATCTCAATCTCTTTGGATACGTTTTTCTTCTGATGTTTGCATGTTTTGTTGTTCTTACTATGTTGCATCATGTCCCATATTGTGTTTTAAACTATGACATGAGTGGGACTACAGTCATATCTCAACAATTGAATTGTAGCTGCTTCCGTCAATTAAACATCATGCCATTCAGGACTTGTACGTTTTTTTATTCTGCATCTCAAGGTGGCCAACACCATTCAATCGTCAAAATTACGAGTCTCCCTTCCTATTCATGTTAAATCATATCTTATATTATTCGTAGAGATTATAAACTTATGACCGAGTGGAAAACGAGCATCACAAGCTATTTGCCTTGGCATACTATCAACTAAACTATTTCAGTGTCAATCAGCACAATGCTCATCCATTTTGCTATTCATTGCTGGACAAATTAGTTGCCCGTCGCATTACAACCAAACACATCTTGTCACGATTAACACATGGCAAAATTTGGTAATGGCCAATACAAAAGTCCAAGTCAGGCGTTCAGCTAACATGGCTGATACAGGTATGCCAATTGAATCAAGGATATAATGACTTCTATATATACCTATGAGGTTAACTGGTTTTCATGCAAGGAATATAAGCTATTATGATGCATGCTAAAAAAATGGTGCTGTGTAGAAGTTTGAATCTACTCATATTGGCCGCTTTTGCTCTTATTTTAGATGTGCCTATTGTGTCTTGTGTTAGACAAGTGCGACAGTCCAATGAGGAGGTGGAGAACATTTTAGGCCGTCAAGATCTTGTGACAGAGTTGCCGGGTCAGCCGGATGTGGGCTTTCTCCACTATGCTGGCTATGTGACAGTGAACGAGAAGAACGGAAGGGCGCTATTCTACTGGTTCTTTGAAGCCTCATCACACCCTGGTGAGAAGCCACTAGTCCTGTGGCTCAACGGAGGTAAGGGCCTGCCCGCCTTAAGAAGAAATGAGTTTGTTTTTTAAATTCATTTTGAACTTGACTTGAATTCAGTTTGTTGCTAGTACTAATATGTGATAATACATTGCATATTATCAAGTTTATTCAGCAAGCCTCTGCATGTAGGATAACTTGCAAGTTCCTCTATTTATAAGCTATTTTCATATTCATGGGATTATGTGTTGCATCTTGGTGCACACTACGGGTTCTGTTTGATCAGAAGGATGTAAGATTCTGGAAACCAAATTATTTTTCCACTTTAGTGCAATGGTAATCAGGTACTGATAGTGGGCTGTACATAACGGTAATGCTCATGTGTAAAATACCCGCTGATTTAAATGACAAATTACGCAGGTTGGACTAGGTAGAAGGTAGTTTTGGTTGTAATATATGTATTTTCTTTTGGGATTTTATAGCAGTTCTTACTCTAGAAAAACATCCAAGTTATTGTAAGGTGTGTATTCATTCTATAGCCTGCCAACCCCTAGTTGTGAAGCAAGTTCAAGGCACAAATTACAAGTATAGAGACTGCCTATTTTCGTTTTTTATTAATATTCAGTTTAGACTTGGTGGACAATTAATTGCTCACGAGGCTCAGGCCAGAGGCCCAGGGTAGCGCGGTCAATCATCTTCTACTTTTTATGCGCGTAAACATGAGTGATAAGAAGCCATTGTGAATCATTGCTTCTTCTCAATCATTTTTTGGAAGTTAATTTGAGTTTAATCTGCAGCATCTATCACACGTGGCACATCGTTACGGCTAAAACATTGAAATTGACTTTTAGGATCAATACGAATGTAAGAGGCCTATGACTGAACTCATGGATGTCTTTTAGGTCCTGGGTGTTCTTCAGTTGGGTATGGAGCAACACAGGAGATTGGACCTTTCCTTGTTGATAAAGACGGTCGTGGGCTCAAGCTCAATCCCCATCCTTGGAATACAGGTCTTTAACAACCAAATCAACTAGACTCATTAGATACGCTGCGCTAGGAGTTATAATGAAATGAATACAACTAATGCTCTTCCCTGTTGCAGAGGCCAACCTATTATTTCTTGAGTCTCCAGTTGGTGTAGGCTTTTCCTACTCACGTACAACTAGTGATTACAGTGTGCTTGGAGATTCTTTTACAGGTGTTGCTTCGAAACTTCTTTTTACTGTTCCTTGTTATATGCATGCGTCTGAGTATGATAGTAAAAATCCGCATTACATTGTAAAATATGTATATTTAGATTTATTGGCAAAATTCATAGTTGTTTAATCATGTGAAGGTTTATGAGAGTTGTTCTGAGTCTGAACATGCTTAGCTGCTTTCTAACTCTAATAGTTGTTCTTCAGCAAATGATACATACATTTTCTTGCATGAGTGGTACAAGAAGTTTCCATCATATAGGAACCACAGCTTCTATATAGCAGGAGAGAGCTATGCAGGTCTGCTTCAAAGAAAAAAAGATTATTCATTATTATATTTTCCAAATAATCCATATGGCTTGATTGGTTTGTCTACACTGTGCTGGCTGGCAGGAAAATATGTACCAGAGTTGGCGGAGCTGATCTATGACATGAATAAAGATGCTTCCTCGTTTATAAACCTCAAAGGTTTCTTGGTAAGCTTTTCTTCATTTTTACAATTTCTTTATCACTGTTAAACAACAAAATATTGTAGATTCTTATTTTAAAAGCTACAACTACTCCCTTTATATAGGATATGATTAGAAAAAATTTATTATGCAGTCAAGGTGAGACTAAACACAATTACCTAATCATAATTATTCTCTTAGTTACATTCCTAATATCTCTCATTCACCAAATCTCTAATTGATACTCCTAATATATTATTCCTAATATAACTATAACATTATAGATCTCCATAATATATTCATTAATACTCCCCCTCAAGCTAGAGCATGTATATCATACATGTCCAGCTTGTTACAAACAAGATGTACTCACTCCAATTTGTGACACAATTTAAAAGGCTGAAATCTTTTGTGTGACCTCCCTCATCGTAGTTGTCTTCATCTTTTAGCTTTCTACTTGAATGTCTTCTACCACGAACAACCTCAACCAAAATCACCAAATGCGATACCTTGATCTTCTTCACAGATCGACCGGAAAACTACTAAACAAACGATCCTCGCCAGGAACCTACCAAACAAACGATCCTCTCTAGGGTTCAACCAAACAAACGATCATCTTCATGGATCAACCAAACAAACGATCCTCGTCACGGATTAATCAAACAAACAATCCTCTTCAATGGATCAACCAAACAAACGATCCTCTTCGGGATCTAAGAAATAAATGATCCTTTTTAGGGATATACCAAACAAATGATTCCTCTTTAGGGATCCACCAAACAAATAAAGCCGAAAAAATAACCTTCATCGAACCAAACTCCAAACCAAATCCTCGTTCAATCAATTTTTTTTTCCGGTAGCTAATGATGGTCAAGGTTTCTACTTTCTAGAATACAAGCGGAGTGGCGGTGGTGTCAACAAGTTGAGTAGGTGGTGAACAAAGGGAAATCGAGGCAGCACAGGCAGAACATATGCATCGAGGATGACTGCTGCTACAAATAATGACAATTCTGATTATCAACAAGGCCACCGAAAATAGGATAGACGAGAACCAACGGCACTGTTTATGATGAACAATCACCACCACTGTTTACGGTGGCCAGTCACATGAAAGAAGGGAGGTTGTAAGGTAGAGGGAGGAGTTGGATTGTGAGGGATTGGGGGGCTATGGTTTGTGAGGATGTAGGGTTTTGTGGAGACTAGGGTTTGCATAGCTCTGACGCCATGTTAAACAATAAAATATTGTAGATTCTCATTCATATTTCAAAAGCTATAACTACTCCCTTTATATAGGGATACAATAACAAGAAGTTTATTGTGTAGTTAATGTGGGACTAATCACAATTATTCTCTTAGTTATATTCCTAATATCTCTCAATCATCAAGTCTCTAATTTATACTCCTAATATATTATTCCTAATATAACTATAACATTATAGATCTCCATAATATATTCCTCAACAAGTACAAAGAAAAATGAGAATAGGGAAGACTGAGTGAGGTTAGCGTTGACATTTGTTAAACCAAAAAGATCAGTACGAGCACACTCCAGTTGCAATACAATAACTTGCACTACTGAAAATGTTTCATTTGCTGATTTGCACTATATTTTTTTTGGGGAGCAGGTAAAAACGTAACTACCTCATATGGGTACCATTATTACCATAATTTAGTGTTGGACACTAGTTGCTTGCACAGCACACCTGCATTTACCTTTTATCGACGGAAGAGATAAACTAACTTTACTTTTTACATCACCTCATTTTAAATGCCTTTCATGCATTATTCCATAACTGTTGAACCTGAAACCCTTTTCGTCATGTTGATGACAAGAAAATGACAAGCAGCACCTTATGGAGATTGGAATGGATCGGGTAATCATTATGACAATATCATCATTGTTGAGTTATTTAGATACTAAGTGAATTAGTCAATGTTGTAAGGACCTAGTTGTAAGAATGCATTAATAAAAGAGGGGTCTCTCAATGAGAGAAACTAACCCTAATTTTCATCCAAAGTTCAACATGGTATCAGAGCCTTTTGCGGCTCCTACTTCTCCTCCGATGACCGGCTCGCGCTATCTGGATCTTGGAACGGCGAGCTCAGGCTCTGGGATCTGAACACTAGGGCGACTACGAGGAGGTTCGTGGATCTCTCCGACCGGAGCTTCTCCGACCGCCTTTTGTTCGCTGCTCCACCAGATCTCTCCGACCGGAGCTTCTCCACCAGATCTCTCTTTCAGCAACAAGTTTCTCAAAAGCCCCAGCCTTTCCCGCAAAGCTCCCGCCTTTTGTTCGCTGCTCTGTTCCAAGTTGGGCAGAAAATGGCGTGAGCCTGGTGAAGGCCTGGCCCACTCCCCTCTTGAAGCCGAGGGCACCGCATGAGGCTAGTTCTAGGGTTTGAGAGAGACGGAGGGGAGAGAGGAAGTGAGGAAAACCCTAGGACGGAGACTTGCGAAGAAAAAAATCCTGCTGTCGAAAGAAACAAAATTGAGAGAGACGGAGACTGGTTCTTAATTTGTAATAGCTTATTTAGGTGCCCTCGACAAGTCAGTCCTAGAACTGATGAGAGAAGAGCTGATATCTCACTTTGTTGAGATATCTTGCTTCTGGTTCTTGTTTCCTTGGTGAAACAGGAATTCTCGTTGATATATCTCTCTTGTTGTGCTGTTGAAGTGCTGCCGAAATTTTTTCGTTGCGCGCCACAAGAATACAAGTTGGATCGATGACGAAGACTGAAAAAAATCCGATGGAGGAGATCATCCAGAAGTTGAATAACCTGAGGGTATTCCAGATCGAGAAGGAGATCAGCGCTATAGTCCAGGGAGAGAGGAACTGTACAGGAGTACGCCACAGAGCTGGAGCGCTTGTGGCTCGATCACGATCACTTCTCGCCCCTTGCGAGCTGCAAGGACCCTGAGTGCAAGGAGCGCGAGGCCTCTTTGCAGAAGAGGACCATGTTGTTTCTCCGAGGCTTGGCTCCAGCGTATGAGCAGAGGACGACGTTGCTACTAACCCAGACGAAGATTCCACCACTGAAGAAGGCAGTCTCGGCCATGATACAGGAGGAGAGCCGTATCAGGCTACAGTCTGGGATAGGTGGACTTACAGGGGAGAAGTCTGCACTGGTGGTATCCAACCCGGATAACACTGGATTCAAAGGGGAGACTAGGCAATGCTTCAACTGCGGAGAGGTAGGGCATCTGAGATAGATGTGCCCTAAGCCACCCAGAGAAAGGAACTGGGGTGAACGTGGTCAGACTGGTGGCCGTGCAGGTCGAGGAGGCAGGGGGCGTGTAGGCTAAGAAGTTGCTCACCTAGCTGTGACAGATGAGTCTCAGACTACTACTGGAATGACTGGAGCTGAAATAACAGAGCTGGAGGGACTACGTCTGTTCAAGCTTCAGGCTGAGAGTTCGAAGGGCAAGGGACAAGTTACCCAGGATCTGGCTACCACTACATGCTTTGGTAACTTCATTGGTTATGCTCATGCGAACAAAGGTACACAGGTTCAGGCACTCTACCACTACATGCTTTGGTAACTTCATTGGTTATGCTCATGCGAACAAAGGTACACAGGTTCAGGCACTTGCATCCACTAAAACTCATGTTGATTGGATCATAGACTCAGGTGCATCTAGGCATGTCACAGGAACATCTAGTGAGTTTGCATTATATTATCCGAGTAAGCATATGCATCCTGAGACAGTTCAGACTGCTGATGGGACATCCCAACCCATCAGGGGTACTGGCTCGGTCCATTGCACTTCATCTGTTACCTTGTCATCAGTATTGCATGTTCCTTCGTTTCCAGTTAACTTACTCTCAGTTAGCTCTCTCATTGATCAATTAAATTGCACCGTGTTATTTGATCGAGATTTGTGTGTCTTTCAAGAGAAGGAAACGGGGAGGAGGATTGGGACTGGTATCAGACGTGATGGTCTTTGGTATTTGGACAGGGAGACAGCAATGATTGCTGCTACTGTTAGCGGAGGGCCAGAGGCAGAAGCGATGCTTCAACATTGCCGGTTAGGGCATTTATCTTTTGAGAGTTTAAATAGATTAGAACCTGAGTTAATGAAGAAAGTGGATAGAAAAGAGTTATTTTGTAATGCATGTGAACTTGGAAAACATACTCGTTCTACTTATAGAATGATTGGTCTTCGAAGTTGTGAACCATTTGCACTTGTCCATTCTGATGTTTGGGGACTATGTCCTACTAACTCTATCAGTGGTTTTAGATGGTTTGTTACTTTCATTGATTGTTATTCACGTATGACCTGGATATACATGATGAAGCAGAAATCAGAGGTTTACAAATGTTTTCAAGATTTCTCGGCTTATGTGAAGACACAGTTTGGAGTGCAGGTGAAGATTCTTCGAACAGATAATGGGACTGAGTATGTCAATAAGGAGTTTGCAGCTTTCATCTCTAATCAGAGAATTGTTCATCAAACCATTTGCCCAGACACCCCTGCTCAGAATAGGGTGGCTGAGCGTAAGAACAGGCATCTACTGGAAGTGGCACGCTCATTGATATTGACAATGAATGTGCCTAAGTTTTTATGGAGTGAGGCTGTTATAACAACAGCTTATTTGATCAACAGGATACCATCAAGAGTATTAGGGATGAAGACACCATGTGAGATGCTTTTGGGCTCGAATGTTTTTGTTGTTCCACCAAGAGTGTTTGGATGCACATGTTATGTGAGAGATCACAAATTGATGGTGAGTAAACTGGACCCGCAAGCAGTTAAATGTATCTTTGTTGGCTACTCATCAAGTCAAAAAGGATACAAGTGTTGGTGTCCCACTGAAAGAAGGCTGTTTGTCAGTATGGATGTGACTTTTCAGGAGTTTGAACCTTTTTATGGGGAGAAGACGGAGTTGAGTTCCTTGTTTGGAGATGGCTCTACTGATGCTAGTAGAGAGGGGGAGAATGAGAATGAGAATGATATTGTGGTCGGGATGATTCCATGCCCTCTTGAGTCACCGAGTAGTGATGGTACATCGCCGAGTAGTGGTGGTGACTTAGGAGTTAGTAGTCAAAGTCAGGGGGAGCTGAGAGTATACACGAGGAGACAGAAACAGCAGCATGAGCCGCCTCCTGTGCCTGTGTCAGTACCCACAAATATTGATGACCCAAGTCCCTCCTCTCCAGTGCCTTGCTCTTCTCCTCCACCTAAGTCGATAGGTAACGATTCCTTCCCTAATACCTCTGATACTCCTGTCTTGCCCCACAGAACCTCTAGAGTCAATGCTGGAAAACCTCCAGCTAAGTTTGGTAATTGGGATACTGATATTGCGAATTACATTTCATATGCATCCATTCCACCTGCATATAAGTCATTCATTGCATCGTTGCATTCAGTGCCTGTACCTAACAACTGGCAGGTAGCTAAGCAAGATCCTAGGTGGTTGAATGCCAAGCACGAGGAACTCCAGGCCTTGAAGAAGAATGACACATGAGAGTTGGTACATTTGCTAGCTGGGAAGCGTGCTGTTGGATGTAAGTGGGTGTATACGGTTAAGCAAACTCCAGAGGACAAGATCGACAGATACAAGGCCAGATTGGTTGCTAAAGGCTACAGCCAAACATACGGCATTGACTATGACGAGACATTTGCTCCAGTAGCAAAGATGAGTACTGTTAGAGTGTTGGTGTCATGTGCTGCCAACTTTAATTGGCCACTACATCAGCTAGATGTCAAGAATGCCTTTTTGCATGGAGATCTTCAAGAGGAGGTATATATGGAGATTCCACCAGGCTTCACTACTTCTCAAGTAGCTGGGAAGGTGTGCAAGTTGAAGAAGTCTTTGTATGGGTTAAAACAGTCTCTGAGGGCATGGTTTGATAGATTCAGGTTGGCAGTTTGTGGTATGGGGTACAAGCAGTGCAATGGTGATCATACTGTGTTTTACAGGCACTCCAAAACTCGTATCACTATCCTGGCGGTCTATGTTGATGATATTGTAATCACTGGAGATGACGCTGAGGAAATACTACTGTTGAAGAAGAAATTAGGAGAGGATTTTGAAGTTAAAGATCTGGGGCAGTTGAAGTACTTTCTCGGAATTGAAATTGCAAGGTCGCGAAAGGGTATAGTGCTTTCTCAGCGGAAGTATGCTCTGGATCTTCTCTCAGAGACAGGAATGTTGGGGTGTAGAGTTGCATCTACTCCTATTGAGCAGAATCATAAGATGAGTGCCGAGGGTGGGGATCCTGTGAGTAAAGAGCAATATCAAAGATTGGTTGGACGACTTATATATCTATGCCATACGAGACCTGATATTACTCATGCAGTGAGTGTGGTGAGTAGATATATGCATGATCCCAGAGAGTAGCATATGGAGGCAGTTCACAAAATTCTTAGATATATTAAAGGAAGCCCAGGAAAGGGGTTATGGTTCAGGAGTTTTGGACATCTGAGAATTGAAGGCTATTGTGATGCTGATTGGGCGAGTTGTATGGATGATCGTAGATCCACTACAGGCTACTGTGTATTTGTTGGAGGCAATCTCGATCTTGGCATAGCAAGAAGCAAGATGTGATGGCTAGGTCTACAGCTGAGGCCGAGTACAGAGCTATGACAGTTAGTCTGTGCGAGTTGATGTGGGTAAAAAACATATTATCTGAGTTGCGCTTGTTTAAAAGAGACTCCTTACAACTTTGGTGTGACAACAAATCGGCGATTAATATTGCAAACAATCCAGTTCAGCATGATCGCACCAAACATGTGGAGATTGATCGGTTCTTTATCAAGGAGCAACTGAATAGAGGAGTTCTGACTTTGAGCTATGTGAAATCAGAAGAGCAGTTAGCTGATTGTTTAACAAAAGGATTAGGTTCTAGAGAGTATGATATCTTTTGTAACAAGATGGGGATGATTGATATCTATCGCCCATCTTGAGGGGGAGTGTTGAGTTATTTAGATACTATGTGAATTAGTCAATGTTGTAAGGACCTAGTTGTAAGAATGCATTAATATAAAAGAGGGGTCTCTCAATGAGAGAAACTAACCCTAATTTTCATCCAAAGTTCAACAATCATCCTGGTATGTTTTCCATCAGAATTGGTTCTAGAACGGGACCCACCTCCATAATGAGCAGTCTTTCAACTCAAGCTTGATAAAACTTTGTAGCTGCCGCCATCTGGCTTATTATTGATGGAAGAAAATATGGAGAAATAGGGGATAATATCCTCAAAATCATGTTTTCTTAATGCATGATAGGGTAGATAACTCCCACCTTATCCCTGTGGCTGAGAAAATTCCTCTAATAATGATGAATCTTTTGACCAATCTTATCTCAAGTAAGTATTCTCCCCTCTGCCTGGCTGAATTTAACTTAAGTGGGTTCTGATCCTTGTCTGCTCCCGGGAGTTCAAAAAGAATACTTGGAAACATACTAGTTTACTAAACCCCAAGCCTTATGAATTGATGCAATTCACTTGATATCAGTTATTAAGTCAAAACTCGTAAATGTAGACATTTACCAAATGAACCAAACGTAAGTTACAAACAAAACATCTCTGATTTGAAAATGGTTACGATACAAACACCTCTTATGTGAATTATGTCCCATATCATGAATTTTTTTTTTCCTTTTGACTTTTTTATTTATTTATGTTTGGTAGTAATGACTAAGAATCTGTTTCAGATTCATCGATGCACTGAGACTATCGTTGTTCATGCAGTTGGGTAATCCTGAAACTTCTGACAGTCAAGACTGGCAAGGTTTTGTGGATTATGCTTGGAGCCATGCGATTGTCTCGGACACAATACACAAGACCGTGAAAGAAAACTGTAATTTCTACACTGAAGACACATGGAGTGACAAAAATTGCAAAGAAGCCGTGGACGAAGTCCTCAGACAGTACAAATATATTGATATGTACAGTTTGTATACTCCAGTCTGCACTCGACACCCAGCAAGTTCAGGTGATGTAACAAAGCAGATGATGTTCAAAGAGGGTTCCAAAATGGTGAGAAGCAATCTGTCAGCTGCATATTTTCACCCAACAATCCTGATATAGAAATATATAGGGTTAATTGCACAGAGACGCCTGTAGTATGACTATGTTTTGCACTTACTACCCTTGTAGTTTCACTGTTGCGGATAGAACCCCTGGGTTAAATTTTTTCTTACTCTTTTACCCTGCGTGAAATTTTGACAGATAATGGCCATGGGTGATATTTGTGAGTCTATCTGAGGGTAAATGAGTCATAAAAATTCAAATAGTGAAACTACAGGGGTAGTAAGTTCAAAACAACGTCCTACAATGTGCTATTAACCTCTCTCTCTCTCTCTCTCTCTCTCTCTCTGTAAATTACAAAAGGTCCCCCCATGATTTGTAGGAGTGATTGGAAATCCCCATGAGGTTTTAAGAGCGAAATTTTAGCACCCTCATTTTCATTTTCTAGTCAAATAATCATCAATTGGTTGTAATCATTAGTTTTTAGTATAATAATCATGCAATATTTTTACATAGGAGCACATATATTCCAATCATAAGTTTTGCCTTCAAGTTATTTTGTGGAAATTGAAACATAGGGGTTCAAATTGTACTTTCGACACCTTAAGGGGGTTTTCTGGTAATCATGCAAACCTTAGGGGTGTTTTTCTGTAATTTACCCAAAATATATTCCAGAGACATTATATTAGCAGCATGTCTTTGTATAATGACAGTTATCAATATAAAAAATTATACTACATTACTAATACATAATCTATTGCGTAGATGCCAAGGATCATGGGTAATGGTTATGATCCATGCCTTGATGATTATGCAGAGACTTTTTACAACAGACCGGATGTTCAGAAGGCCCTCCATGTTAATCATGGTCACAATGTAAAAAGCTGGAGTATTTGCAAGTAAGAATCCCTCTTTCAATTTCTACTAAAGTTTAAAAGAGTCATCTTTATGAACTGAATGTATTCTTACAAAGAAAACAGTTGTTCAATGATCTATCATAAGGACTTTTTTTAAATAATACTTAACATGAAACATTGATTTGGTGCAGTATGCAAATATTTCATGATTGGAAAGATTCCAATCCTTCTGTTCTTCCGATATATAAGAAGCTTATCGCTGGAGGGCTTAGGATATGGGTCTACAGGTATGATGATAAGATTCGCCGATCCTATAATATAGTGAAACTTAGATTTTAGCCTAGTAAAAAACTTGGTTTCAGTATGTATATGAGTCTTGACTTTCTGCATCGTTTTTTTCCTCCTTTTTCAGTGGAGATACAGATGGAAGAGTTCCTGTGTTGTCCACTAGATATTCCTTGAACGACTTGGGCCTGCCGATAGTTGGTTCTTGGAGACCTTGGTACCATCAGAAACAGGTATAACACAATTCTTATTCATCTCTACTGTTATGACTCCGAAACACTTTGAGTTCATGTGAAGATAAAATAATCATATTATGAGGGTGTTTGGAAGACTTATTTTTTTTGAAGATTATAAGTTATGCTAGCTTTTAGTGGCTTTTGGTTTTTATGATAAAATAATATTATAAAAATTATTTGGATAGTAGAGTAATTTGTTCGGTCAAACCTAGCTTATTTAGGTGCGCTTATAAGTTAGTTTTTTTTAAATGTGACTTATAAGGTAACTTATTTTGTATTTTACCAAAAAGAGTTGACTTAAAAGCTAGTTTGGTCAAAATATAAGCCGCCTCAAACGCCCTCTATATGTCATTGATATGAAGAAATTCGTGTCTGACTGACCATGTTAAATTTTCATGGAGCATTCCATTTCCCAACCCTGGAGTACTTTTTTTCCACAGAGTCTTACATATTCAAACTTAAATTGAAAAATTAAAGTGTTTTACATTTACTCTTAGCTACTTTTCTACACCAGATTGTTGCAAGGCTCAAGAATCACGCTTTTCACGCATTCGAACACGGATTAGTTTATGCATCCCTATATCTCCCCCCCCCCCCCCAGCTTGATAAAACTCGATCTGTTGTTGAGCTTCCAAGCGCTTCTCATCTAACATCTCTAATTCCTCGAGGCGTTTCTGATGATGTTCTTCCGTCGTCATTCCCATTACGAGAGCGATGCGGAGAGAAGGAATCTGTATTTCTAATGGAAGGACGGCTTCACACCCATATGTTACCCCCCCTAAATTCTATTTTAAATGCATGTCCAATGGAATTTGAGCCTGGATTAGTATGATACCATCACGAAGTCACTTCCATTACACGCAGCCTTGAAATTGTGCAGGAGGTTGAGGATTATAGTTCCGTACCTGGCACTTTTCGCTACACATGCACTTGTACATACCCAAGAAATCTGTATGCGCCAGATTTAAGTTTTTAGGTTTGTGAATCACTCGAAACTTATTAAAACAGCATTTTATCCGTAGGTGAGCGGATGGGTACAAGAATACGAGGGGCTTACGTTTGCCACATTCAGAGGAGCTGGCCATGCTGTGCCGTTGTTCCAACCAAGCCACTCTTTAGCTTTCTTTGCGTCCTTTCTTGCTGGAGAGTCTCCATGATCCACAATAACCTGCTGACACGCTTGATCCTCGGCTCCTCGAAGGCTGTTGCTAGTTATGAGAGTGTTTTACTTGCAGAGAATAGCTAGAAAATATGAGCTTTATATATGTATTTGGAATAACAAGCTTTTGTACCTTGCTTGAGAAAAGAGATGATCTAATTCCTACGAGCTTATTAGTTTCCAATTGTATCTTTTATTTAAAGAAGCAACTGTGTATCGAGGTTTATAGTTACTAATAAAAAAAATCTGAGCAGTATAAATTTGGAAATGAGATGCTTTTGCGTTTTGTTTGGCACAACTCTTGATCTTTGTTGCAACTTACAAGCTTATTATAAGCTTCCTATTGTATCAATCCCTCATTGATGTGACTATATGTTGACTTTTACATGGATTGCGTGATACCAAGAAATTCAAGTGTGCCAAAGTTTTTAAGGTAGCATGATTTGACTCATGAATAGGGGTCAAGCCCATGTATATACGCCACGTATGTTTTAGGATAATTATAAAAATGCCCTTCGTATAAGGCTCATGTTCGGATCAGAACGCCCCGCCACACTATGCGTGGCGTTCTGATAGGATTTCTATTTTATTAAAACTAGATTAAACTTTATACACGCGCAAAAGCACATTACACAAATCTCATTTCTATGTTGTTAGAAGAATGACCCCTGGACCTCGTTTCTAATACCTAATTGATCTAATCAAGGTTCTTTTGTAAGAAAAAATGCATATTATGTAAAATAAATATGCGTCCATCATCTTTACAAAAGGAACTCAAGCAAAGTGCTAGGATTAATTGTTACATGTTTTTTTAATTACATTTTTGGGAGAAAAATAAATGATATTTGCTAGTTGTAGTGTCATCTCATAAGGTAAATTTTGGTGATGGGGCTTGCTTCAGTAGACTAATAAAATGGTCTTAAAAAAAAAGAGTCAAAGTGAAAAAAATGTTGCGAATAAAAAAAATTGCATATTGGATGCTCTTACTTCTACAAAAATTAATGTTGAAACCATCACGAGGTTATACAACTAATCATGTATTATTAAAAATCTTATATAAACATACTAAATCATAAATTCAAAATATAAAATACTTATTTTCTTTAAATGCTTTCGTTTCTTACTCAAAAAATAATAATAAATAAATAAAATCATTACTTACTCAGAAAAGTACCATAATTTGAGCCTACTCAAAACTACAAAATAGATTTAAGAGTGAATCTTTTTGTAAATCTAGTATATGGAGATTTTACAATTTACTCCAACCAAAGTGTAATATTTATTTTCATAAACACCACACACTCTCAGTCTCTCTCATTCCCCAAACCTTGAATCCTTGATCGCAAGCAAAGGCAAAAGATCGATCCCATCAATGGATATGTCCATAGATTCGCCTCACTCCAACGGCGACGCCTCCCCCGCCTATCGATCAAGCTGAGCAACCTCGCGGAGTCGCTGAAGCTCGAGCACCAGCTCTTGAGGGTCCCCTTGGAGCATTACAAGAAGATGATCAGGGTCAACCATCGGATCGCCGAGAAGGAAGTTTCGGCCGTCATTTCGAGCGTTTCGGCCGCCGCCGATCGGTGCGAGGATATGACGAGCGAGGAGGCGGTTACGCATCTCACTTCGCTGGTTTCGAGGCTCCAGGGGCTTAAACGCAAGGTAAGGGATCGAGATCTCGGTTGTTTAGGGGGGATTTAGGTAATTCACAAAGATTTAGGTTTTTTTGGGACATTTTCAAAGTAGAGTTCCGGGTAATGTACCTGGAATTTTTATTAGGGATTACTCCATCTCAGTAAAATTATAGATTCTTAGAGAAATTCTTGTTACTATGCGGATATTTTCTTCTGGATTGATACTTTGCATTTGGATGAGCTTTGAGAAATATGGAATCTCTGGTTGTAGAAAAATGTTAGGCACGAGGTTTCTTTTTTTCCCCTTATTTTTTTGGGGAAAATTTCTGATTTTTTCCCAATTTTCCAGTTCTTTTGTAACTCAGAAAGCTTTATCGTGTCTTTTTCCCCCATAGTAGAGTTTCTATTAATTTAACCGGAATTTTCTATTATGAAGAAAAATTATAATTTGAAAGAAATTCTTGGTATTACGTGTATGCTTTCTTCTGCCTCGATATTGTTGCAATTGCCTTTTCATTTTCAATCAGCTAGAAGAAGGAAGCAAGGTTGAGGCCTTGCAAGCACAGAGATGCCGAGCTAGATTGGAACACTTGGAAAGTGCAAATGCAGATAATTTGAATGAGTGGAACGATACTAGGTTGAAACGAATCCTTGTCGACTATATGTTGCGTATGTCCTATTATGATTCTGCTGTTAAGCTTGCAGAAAGCAGCAATATACAGGTGAGTTTGTTTTGGTAAGATTTTTTTCTTAATCTTAAACTTTAGTTCATTTTCTAATGCAAGATATATAGTATGTTTTTTATGTTTCACATGATTGATATTGGATAAGAGTTCTGTACTTCTCTTCAAGTTTGAATGCACAATATATTGCATACACATGATGTTTCAAATGATTGGTGTGGATGAGAGGGTGGTTACTTCATTTTCTACAGTGCAAGATACAGGAAATGTTTTAATGCTTCAGTATGATGACAGATCCCTCCCGCCCCCCGCCCCCTTTTTTTTTTTGTTTTGGGTTGGGGGGGGGGTTGGGATAACGCAAAGGCCAGCCAGTAGGTGGTAGAGTCTGGTTGCTGATCATGCAAATTATGTTTGCCAGTACGGGAACAATAATTATCCATGGACTAAGAAAGAGTTGATGAGAATGGGAAGAACTGATATGTTCATTTATGAATTTTAGCTATTTCATTGCGAAAGAAAATTATTTATTTGTTATTATTTATTCATTAATGGAATGAAAAAGCAGTTTTTTTTTAAAAATATTGCCAGCAGCCTGGTTGGCGAGTAATTTGCTTAGGGTTTTAGGTTATGACCACCTAGGCCTGCTTAAAAAAAAAACTTAACTTTTCTAAGAATGCACTTGTAAGTGTTTTTCTCAGCCTGTAAAGCGCTAAACAGACCTGTCCAATGCCTTTTGCACCTACACTAAACTTTTTTTCATGTCAGAAAGTCGATCTAAAATGTAAAGGGTGCTGTGAGAAAAAACATGGAGTTGTTAAGATTATGTTTTACACTTCATACTCCCTAGTCTGTTTTAATAATTAATTCACTGTATCTTGTTATCATCTAATTCAATTATGGTGAACATTCTTATTATGCTATAATCGGCTTCGTATTCCATCTGCTATCGTACTAAGAGTTGCACTTCCATAACTTTACTAAGCTAGCTGATCCATTTATTACAGGACCTTGTTGATCTTGATGCTTTTCTTGAGGCAAAAAAGATAATTGATTCTCTTCATAATAAGGAAGTAGCTTCTGCTTTAGCTTGGTGTGCGGAAAACAGGTCCAGATTGAAGAAAGCAAAGGTATGTTGACTTAATGATTGTTTTATTGTTTTTTATAATGCGTAAGAATATGCCAAGTTCTAATTATAGCTGGAGCTAGAAATCTTAGTATGGTGAGGTTGTGAACACCCATTTTGAGAATTGAGGGAATATCCCAGGGGAAGTGGTCCATTTACAATATTAAAAAAAAATTATAGCTGCAAGAAGCTGAGATTTGCATGTTTCTTTCTTTCTTCCCTCCCACCATTAGAGCCTCAGTAATCTTCCCTTTTTCCTTTTGCTCTGTCAGAGAGGGATAACGGACTTAATGAATTATAGTTACAAAGAAAAGATGTCCATTCTTTCTACTTTCTTTTCCTTTTTTGGTGAATGAGTTAGTGAGTGAATACAGTCGTTTGAGGATCCAGAAAATATCTAAAGGGAACTGATTTGGTACAGTACTTAATGACATTGTTGCACCCACATGCATATATGTACTTTCATGTTAATCTACAAGTTCATTGTTCATTGAAAGCACTGGGCCTCAAGGGTTAAATCTAGTGTAATTTATGAGCAAGGATGAAATAGTTCACATAGGATTGAACTGTTGTGGAGTCCCAATAAATTAGCCTTATGAAAGAAAAGCATAAGTACATTGTATGCCAATATTATGTTTTTGGGCCTTCAATACTGGTCTCTTAATAACATAATTCATATAGTCAATCCCAGAAGTTTGGAATGAAGACTTTGTTCTTGATGTAATAATTATGTTTCTGATTAGTTTGTAGAAAATCACAAGACTGCAGTTTTCTAAGGTCATCATGTCTTGATTTTGCTTAATGACAGCATGGTTAACTTTGAGTACTCTAATTAAGCAAGGAGAGGCCAGTTGTGGTGATAAATTTATAAAGCCACAGTTTCAAAACGTCTAATTTATCTTTTCTGACATTACATTTAAGTTCAGTGACAGTGTTTGAATTCTCTACCTTTCTCAGACAAGCGATATGGTTATCACTAGCTAAATAATGGAGTATTTGTTTTCCAAATCAAATGATAGAATGAATACTACTGTAGCTACCAAATATTTTCCTTTTTGCAAAGGCAACTTACTGTGATGTTAGGAAGCTTCCAATTTTAATTTGCAGATTTAATCTACATATTATTTCATTGTTTCTAGCAAGGGCATTAGGTTTTTTGGTATATTTTTGGGTTCGTTTGGTAAACTGAGTCTTTGAATAGGTTATATGGGAAAAATTGTAAGTCAGGGAATTATGTTAATGAACCGATGATGTCAGGATGACTTTATTAATTTCAGATACGTCATGTCAACAGTGGAAATCTAACCTTTATTCCTCTTATTTCAAGATATTTTAAGCTTATAAATGACCTGCTTACATGCACATTTAGAACAAAATTTTCACCAGGACATTCATGCTATGTATATAAAAAAGGTCTTATTGTTAATTTTTAACCTCTTAACTGGAGAATGATTCAATTTGTATTGCTAAGACAGACAAATTTAATCATGAAAGTGATTTTTTCTTTTATTTATGTGCTCTTGTGTAAAATTTGGAGACTAAGCAAACCGATTTCTCAGAAGGATGATTAAGAGTTCAATTTGACCATTGTCCAAACTCTGAAAGACTGGAGATAGTGATGATGACATGCACGTTTCTCAAAAGTTGACATTCATATAAGCTTCCTTTTTTCATATCATCCTGCCTTAAAAACTCTAGACAAGATACAAGTTCTCGGATCTTGAAGCTATATGCTTTTCTTGCATGTATTTTCTTGATTTTATTTCAAAATCATGTATAGCTAGGAGGAGCTGACGATTCTGTGATTGAACTTGCAAGCTACAGGATTGGTTGTATGGACAAAACTCACAAGTGTAAAATCTCATACAAAATGTTAGTGGTACAATAACCAGCATAAGTATTTTCCGCCCCCACCCCCACCCCACCCCCAATTTTGTTTTCTTGACATCGATTTTTAGTTGGCACTCTTTACATAACTTCCTATGAGATGACTTTTCTTTCTGCAATATCCTTTTGATTTTGATTATTCATGACTTTATTGATGAATGAAGGATATGCATTTTATTTTATTTTTCTGAGCAAGCATGCTGTAGGTTAACTATTTGGGGGTTTTTCTCTGTTTGCTATATTTGTGTTTCCAATTTAATTTTTATGCTAATATCTGCCTATGCACTTTCAAAGGGCTTAAATAATTCCCACTGCTTACCATTTGTTCATGCAACTTCTATTATACAGAGTAAATTTGAGTTTCAATTGAGGCTTCAGGAATTTATAGAATTGGTTCGAGCTGGCAGCACCCTTCCAGCTATTGAATATTCTCGAAAGTACCTTGCACCTTGGGGAGCTACACATATGAAAGAACTACAACGAGTCATGGCAACTTTAGCTTTTAGGAGCACTACTGAATGTGAGATTTACAAGGTATATCTTGTGACCACAAGCTGTGTTATATATTTATGCAGTAATGGAGACACCTTGACCATGCATTCTGCCATCATTATTTTTATGTTGTATGTATATGTCATCGAGATGCAAAACTTCGTGTGACACGGGATGCATGTTAATAATTTGTATCTGTCTATTTGACTGTCATTAGGTGACAACATTTTTGGCTCTTGTTTGAGTGTATGTGCTTATTTTTTACAGTATAGGAGGAGGAGTCTTTTCGACTAGAGTGTACTTGAAAACTTTATGCCTTTCTTGTGCAACTATTAGTTTCAAGGATGTAGCAAAAGGATTACTCAACTACTTTACAAAAATAATCCAAAGTTCCAAACATTTGAAATTCAGAACATACTACAATAATATTAAATGAAAAGTGTTTATGGATTTGTCAGGTGGTTACTATTCAACGAACTTTACCTCCTTTCCTCTTCTCTTTCATTCCTTGTACTAATTCATGCCAAATAACACAAACCTAAGCAATGTAAAATTTGGCTCTTCTACCTCTTTCATGTCCTGGTGTGTTCAAAAGGACTTGTTGCGCAACTTCCTTCCATCCTGCATCAATTGGATCTGCAGCAACAACTGTGCTTGAGGTTGTATATGGGTGCATAAACCTTATTTCTAATTACTTGTCCAGCACAAGATAGGTAATACCATGCTATACTCAAACAGATTACACCGGATATTAAAACATTTTATGAACTATAAACTTCATCCTGTATTTTAATTTTTCATGAAAACTTTCAACGTCACCGGCACAAGCAAACACACACAGCTCGAAAAGGGTGTGTGTTGGGGAGTGGGCGGTGGGTTGTGCGGTGTATGATTGGATCATTAGTCCCTCAAATCTTTGTAATGGGTGTGTGTGTGTGTGTGTGTGTCCCTTTTTTCTTTTCTGGGGGGGGGGGGGGGGGTATCTATAAAACCCATACACGAACAATGCGTGCGCATTTGCTGTATTAGATCATGTGGTGTATAATACGGATGCATTATGCATTGTCCAAGTGCATTCGTAATCATTCATGCGTTTGAACACTGACCCTAAGTGTCCATTAACTTATGTTTTCTACTCATCATATAGGCAATGGTTCTCTAGAAATTCTGTGTCTTCTCAAGACTTTTCTTGGCCACAGGGTTTATGCACCAATCCAAAGGGCCAATGTCATGTTGACAGTGGATCTCAAATTTAGGGATTTTGTTTTCTAGCCTTGTTATTTTAGTGTTTGTTCTCCTTAACTGATTCTCTTGATTGGATGATCCTAAGATGCTTAGATGATGACAGTGACCGTGCTTCTGAAAATTACTTTGATTTCTTTGTGTGACTTGTTTACTAATCAAGCATTATCCAGTATAGGAGCTACTGTGACTATGTGAGCGTCCTTGAATTAATTGAAAAGTGTGCAGGAAGTTATATATTGTAAACCCAGTTTGTGAAGACCTCTGCCAAGTTTCATAGACGAAAATTAATTTTTGGATACTAAAAAAAATTCTGATATGTACAAGCTTATCTTGTTTCAGGTTTTATTCGAGGCAAAGCAATGGGACTATTTAGTTGAACAGTTTAAGCAGGAATTCTGTAGATTGTTTGGCATGACCCTTGAACCTCTACTGAATATCTATCTTCAAGCTGGATTATCAGCTCTTAAAACTCCGTATCCTTACTAAGAAATGGGAAAAAAAAGAGAGCGGCTTGTTTACATTTCAATTTAAATTTACCTTTGTAGAGATCAGAGAACTTATCATCATCATCATCATCTATTTCTTAACTTCAATCAGTTTTTGTTACGAAGAGGATTGTCCCAAGGAAGACCCACTGTCACAGGAGGGCTTCCGCAAATTGGCAGCGCAATTGCCATTCTCAAAACAGCACCACTCCAAGCTAGTTTGCTACATTACCAAAGAGCTCATGGATAGCGAGAACCCACCACTTGTTTTACCCAATGGTTATGTGTACAGTGCCAAGGTACAAATCTAATATTTTTCATACACTACATAATAGATAAATAAGTTAATAAGTTGAAGTTGTTTGTGGTGGACTACTATATCACAGGCACTTGAAGAAATGGCTAAGAAGAATGATGGCAGAGTGACGTGCCCTAGGACTGGCGACGTGTGCAATTACACTGAGCTTGTCAAAGCTTTCATTTCATAGAGGAGTTAGCCGTCTCTCTCGGTTTGGACAGAATGATCTGCATGTTGTATACTCTTATAACTTCGCGTTCGTTGTTTAATGTTTGATCTTCTTGTACAAAGCATCTGAAGCAGGCCTCCTCCGATGGCATTGTAGTTAAACTGGTTGAACTAAACAATATGATGATCAGAATCAGAATCTTTCAAAATATAAGTCTCTGAGTTCATTTATCTCGAATTGTACTGAACCTTGAGCGTCAGAATTCACGGCTATGCCTGAGGTTGTGGCCATGCATTATTCCGGGGAAAAAGTCTGTTTTGATCTGAAGCTCACACCTAGCTGTTTTGGTTCTGTGTTATCTCGCTTTCTGTGTGTTCTCTGTCTGCGTCTTGTCGACGCTTATGGCTTGTCGCGTCTTGTCGACGCTGATGGCTTGTTGGTTTGTTGAGCACTTCATAATCGGTACGGTAATTGTGAAACCTACATCTCGGTTTGAGCAACTTCATGCGTATCTGATGACGAAGGTTAAGCATGTCGAGCTAGCCTGTGAATTTTAGTTCTTTTTTCTTGGAATTATGGGTTCATATCCGGCTTCTTTTCATCCGTTGAGGAGTTGTTTATGCCTTCATATTATTATGAAAGATTACTCAAAGTGACTCCTCTTTTCCGCTACATCCTTAAACATGGTACATGATACAGAAAAAAAGTAGAAAGATATGTATAAATATGAAAAAGGCCCCCAAATTGAGTATTTAGCTTAGTAATAAAACAAGACAATGATAAGATACAACAACAGTTTATTAAAATAATAGAGCCCTGTAGTTCCACTTTTGCAAAATGACCCCTGATATTTTTTCGACTCTTAAAATCGCTCAAAATGTTTAAGGAGGCAGATAGATCCCCCATTTTTTTTATTCATGAGGATAGAAAGCCAATTGCTTTTCTTTTTTGAATTTTTAAAAGAGTCGAAAGAATTCACTAGGTAGGTGTGCTCGCACCTGGATGGCTGGACCTATACTTCATGGGTCTATTCGCTACAAATAGAACTGCAAAGGTCCTATGCATAATTAACCCTTGATAATTATTATTATTTATAATTTTCCAATTTCCCTCCTTGTTTTCAGGAGGAAATTCTTCCTCTTGTTTTCTTCCCCAAATTTCATTTCTTTTCCTCTCCCCGAAGCTCAACGCCCCCATCGCAGCTCGTCTGCGATGTGGTGTCGTTTGCCTGTACCCTTTCTCTTCTCCTCCCACTGATCTCATGCGACAGCCTGCATGAATATTTCCCACTTTGTTATCTCGATTGTTATTTCCTGTCAACACCCATCGATATTGGGTATCTTGGTTTCCTCTTTATTCAATTATACACATCGCCATTTCCCCGAGAGATGGTTGCAGCAGCTTCCGCAGCCGAGAAGGACGCCGCATTGGGTCCCGCGCTCGCGACGAATGGCTCTTTCACATTCCAGCTCGCCGACATTGCCCATGATGAGGTATAACCGTTGCCCATCATGATGTCCATGTTGCACGTTACTTGTTTGATGAAATGCCGCAGTTACGTAAGTGCCCGATTTGATGCAGGCTTCTCTGGGTTTTAAAGAAATGTGGCCGCAGAAGGGATTCGTGCGGTGGAATACAATTGGCCATTGCGGGCAGGAGGCAGAGCCGTCCCTGCATGGGGTGCTCAAAGAGCACATTGCAAATTTCAGGAGAGCCCTCGAGCTTCCTCCTTTTAATGACTCTGTGTCGTTGCATGAGGTACTGAATTACTTTTTGATATCGGTTCAATAAGATTAGAACTATAAATTCTGGAGAAGTTTGTTGACAATAACAAGGGAATGTGTTCTGGCGCAAAAACATGGCTTGCCGGGTGATGATAGATATGTGTGTCCACCACACAAAGTCTCAAACTTATATATCTAAGGGTTAACTGCAAACATACCCCCTGTAGTATCACCCAATTGCAAATAGACCCCCCTCTAGTTATATTTATTGTGCATATACACCCTGTAGAATAGACCCCCTTAGTATTGGCCCAAGGGCGAGTACATGCCCTCAGTGAACTTTTTCAACTATTTTAGAAGTTAAAAAATAAGCAATTGGGTAGCTATTCTCACTAATATAACTAGAAGGGGTCTGTCCGCCTCCTCAAACATTTTTAACGATTTTACGAGTAAAAATAAGTTCACTTGAGGGTCTATTCGCGACAAATAGAACTAGAGGGGGTCTCTTTGCAATTGGGTGATGCTGCGGGGGGTCTGTTTGCAATTAACCCTATATCTAAACATATGTCCTATATAATTGATTGATGTATATGTTATTATGTGACAACGTTAGCCTCAAAATCCTAGCTTCTGTTCTGCCTTCAACTTCTAGTATTCAGGGTTAATATGGAAGCTGAGGAGTCATACAACCTCTCTTGCCTTAACAGGGAGAAAAGAGTTAGGCCAAGACTACTCGTATCATCTAATCAATATATGGAAAAATGTGAGTTTTTTGCTCACTTGCTCAGTCTCCTGCAAGTAATAAAGAAGTCATGTGAACTTCTACTAAAAAGTTTTATTGTCGCTTGAAAATTAATTAAATGCAGCGGTTGGTGTCCGGATGTTAGTTGGTTTAGCAGTACTTGACAAATGTTGGCTATGGATAATCTAGGGCTGCTGTAGGAAATATCTAGATACTTTTTTCATCTCATATGTTCTTAAATATTATTGTTCTACTAGCTAATTATTCTGTTTGAAATACTACTCTGACATTATTATGTTTGTCCGCCTAGTAGTTTTTGAGGAACACTTTGGAGGATCTCCTGCGAACGTATCCCAAGTGTGGGTCATGCATTCAGATCTCTGAAGTCAATCACGGATCTACACATCAGGTTAAATATAATTATAAATCTATTTTTTGTTGGAACTACCAAAAACATACACACGCGTCCATCTCAAATTGCATATAATGTTTCCTGCTTCTCTGGTTCATATATCTAATCTTCTCTTTGTTCGTCACTGTTTTTGTTCTCGCATTTTGGCATTTTTGTTCATGTACTTGCATATAGCATATACCTGGATTGAATGTTTGCTTGTGGTTTAAGGGACAGCGCCATTAATTTCTTTAGTAGGGCATGTTTTCTATCGTTGCTAGATTTTTTTAATCTCATTGCCTCTAGTAAAGATGATAACTGACAACAATGAGCCAAACTCTCAGGTACTGTTCTATTTTTACAAGGCCCTTAAGTCTGTTGGAGATTTATGGGCACAAAACCACTCTCAGAATTTTGCAATCGAGAAGGATGTATACTTGGAAACTTTGAGCTTTCACAAACTAGGTAAGCACTCTCCTTTTTATTTAGTAATAAAGACATTATACAAGAGTAATGCAGTTTTTCTTAATAATTATATTCTATTCTAGTTGAGAAAGTGCTTGAAAGGCTTAATTACATGAGTTCACGAGCAAAGGAGATGTTTGATCTCATGGATAATCACCAGGGAAAGTACTCCAGCTTTGGTTCTCCTCTCACCCCAACTTCGGTTCTTCCACCATCATCAGGGCGCCATTCAAATCCTAAAGAACTTTCGGTTTCAACATGCTTATCATCTCATATCCAGCCTATGAGACTTCAAGCCCTGGCAAAGTTGAAGCCATTGGATATGAAGCGACTATCTTTCCGAATGTTACCTCTCATTGTGGATCAAAAATCCATTCCCATGCATCAAAAGCATAAAATCGATGGTGAGCAGAAACTAGATCCTGTACAATCAGTAACAGTGGAGTCAAATGCAGATACTAAGAGCGATCCTGAAAGTAGATCTTATGAAGTTACAGCGCTCACGCATTCATCTCCAAATACTCATCAAGAAACAAGTATGGAATCGATGCCACATGACACGAACAAACATGATATCATAAGTGGTGATATAAATAGACCTTCTGAAGCTACAATACTAATTGCACCACCAACTATCCCCTTAATGCACCTGAGAGCTCCAAGCCATCAGTCTGAAACCCCTACACCTCCTTCAACTCCCATGGTGTTGCAAGGAGTATACATGCCATTTTTCGATTCCTCAATGAACATGGAGCCAGTTGCATATGCCATGACAATAGATAATTTTCAAGATTATTTCATGAATGACATGGATACTGAAAATAATTGTAAACCTTCTGAAGCTAGCTTATCTGCAACTCCACCACCTACCCCTACCCCAGAGTTGAGAGAACCACCAACACCAAAATCTCCAATTCCTCCACCACCTCCACCACCATCACAGAGCAAGTTGGCACCAATGCCTCCACCACTCCCACCACCTATAAAATCAGGATCGCCATCACAGCTGCCATTGCCATCTCCAGGCATCGGGAGTCTGCTGGCACTACCGCGCCATTCGACTGGATAAAATCGGATTAGGCCCGGCACCGCCGCGATTGCCACCTCAACATGGCATCCGCACCACCGGTAAAATCAGGGTCTGGCCCACCACCGCCTTTGCCACCGGGAGTCGCGAGATCAGGGGGCCCGCCACCTCCACCGGGGATGAAAGCACTACATTCGAAGAAAGATACGAAACTGAAAAGATCGAAACAGATGGGTAATTTGTATAGACTTCTCAAAGGGAAGGTAGAAGGTTCTAGTTTGAATGGGAGAACGTCTCATCGGAAAAAGACTGGGAGCAACTCTGGTGGAAATAGCGGCCAGGGAATGGCTGATGCATTAGCAGAGATAACAAAGAGGTCTGAACTCTTGTCACAAACTTGCGTTTTATCACAGTTATTGCCTCTAATTTTAATTGGTCTAATATCATCAGATCATCCTATTTTCAACAAATTGAAGAAGATGTTAAGAACCATTCTGCAGCTATTTTAGAGTTGAAATCTTCTATTGGTTCTTTTCGCACTAAGGACATGACTGACCTGACCAAATTCCACAAGCAAGTTGAGCTGCATCTTGAAAAGCTGACAGATGAATCACAGGTGACAAAATGCGAATTTGTTTTATCGAATAATAATTCTTTTTGTTAACCATGTTACTACTAATTGGACTCCAGGTATTAGCTAGATTTGAAGAGTTCCCTACAAAGAAGTTGGAGACTATAAGGATGGCTGTTGCATTGTACTCGAAGCTGGAGGCAATAGCTACAACTCTGAAGAGCTGGAAGGTGGTGAGCCCTGTTGCTCAGCAGCTTGAAAAAATTGAATCTTACTTTAACAAGGTAATTGCGAATGATGTTTGAATGAAAAATTAGTTTATCCAATGACAACTGAATTCTCAATATACTGATTGCTATATGTCGTCATAGATCAAGGAAGAAGTGGATGCTACAGACCGTAACAAAGACGAAGAATCCAAGAGATTCAAAAGCCACAACATTGAACTTGACTTCAGCGTCCTTTTGCGCATCAAGGAATCTATGGTTGATGTATCATCTAACTGCATAGAAGTGGCACTCAAGGTAAATTTAAGGGATCTTCCTATAGATTGTTTATAACTACACAATACTCTTTGTCAGCAGTACTCTTCATAACCTACTTATAACCTAAATCAACAGCCATGTTTATATAATTGTGAGATCAGTATTGGTAGATACCTAGGGTTAATCGGATAATTATGCATCTATTCTCCGCGTGCATGTGTACAGAGATGAGACTTAGATGTACATTTGAAGACATGTAAATTAAGAATCATCACAATTGATACTTCTGTCTTGTATAGTTATAGTTTATAAAGCAGGCCATGATATTTATTCAAAAAACATGAAAGCAAACTACTCTAATAAAAATTTTGGCCACCACGATTCTCATTAATTAAATAATCAGAATTCGAACTCCAAGATTCAGTCATAGCACATATGTTGAAAAGTACAAATAAATAACATTAAGGAACATGAAATTGTAGTGTAAAATACATAAAAATGTCTCACAATCATTGAGTGATTGATTCTCTTCTTTTATTTCTCGGGTCAAATTCAAGCAGTTCAGATCAGAAATTCACTAAAACGCATGAACTTGATTACAAGTAAAAGGGGTTGGAGTGAATTAGGTAACATAGAGTTATATATTGACGAGAGTATGAAATCTGCTTGAAACTCATAAACCAAAGAACAACAAACCCATTCACAATTAATATGAACAAGAACAGAGTTCCCCTATCTGAAACCGAAAGCATGTATCTACTTCGGCAAAAGATGATGGAAAATAAATATACTAGGAAATACGGGGAATAAAATTCTTCTTTTGCTCACCTTAATCAAATTAATCATAAGCAAAGTTACTATGAAGCAAAAGGTATCTCTTTCCTCCTTCCTTCCAGTAACCGAAGATAGAAATGGAATGTCCTGCTCAACTTTTCTTTATATCCAATTTTCTAGAACCAAACTAATTAAATAACTTATGCTCACAACCTCACAATTTGCACATTTTAGAATGGGACATTAACCTTCTATTCTTTTTAGAAGCACAATTGATTGCTATTATTTTTACTAAGTGCTTTTACTCATTCTATATCAACTAAGCAGTTTCCTTATCTTTTTTCTTTTACAAAATTGATTGTTTTGTAACAGGTTTATTAGGGAGCTATTTGAAATGACACAATTTGGTAAACTTCTCACAACTGTCAAAGCTCACAAAACCTACTATTTTCTTTGTCCTGCATTTCTCTTGGCATCATCTTGCCATCCTCCAATCCTTTCTCTTGGTTTGCCTCTCCTTGTGCAAACTCTATTTCCCCCTGCATCTACCTTTACGAACTTTCTCCACTAAATCTATTTCAATAACACTCCATCTTTATAAGCATTTAGAACTTGAACAATATATAAAACATCTTAATGATATGAAATCCTACCTTCAGGACTCTTAGATGAGCCCTTCATTAGAATGAATTTTTCAATATGTATTAGCAACAGGAGTCTAAGCTTATATTTGTATACCTAGGCCCTCTTACAAAAACAAGGTAGCTATATGAAATTGAAGCTATTCTGACTGAACTTTTTGCCGGGGTTGTAGGAGAGCAAGGAAGCAAGGGAAGCAGCTAAGGAGGTAAAGTCAAAATCTGGTAGCCCTTCAAAAATGCTATGGAGGGCATTTCAACTGGCATTCCGAGTTTATAATTTTGCTGGAGGCCAGGATGAGCGAGCAGATCGTCTAACAAGTGAATTGGCTACTGAAATAGAGACCCATCCTCAAATCTAGCGCTTGTGTTCTAGTGATTTCCTATTAAAGAGTATCCACAAACATAATTACATTATATGAAGAAATTTTACCATTTAACTGTCACAGTCCTTGGTTAACCAAGACCAATATCTGTTTTTGTGTTATTTCCAATTCTAAGCTCTCTTTCGAAAACTCTCCTGCCTATTGTTTGTCTATATAGCCTCAGTGTTATTGTTGTATCATTTTCTTTATTTATTTGGCTAATATATTTACTTGTATTCTGCATATGAGCTTTATGGTGGTGTTTCCCTAAATTTGCCTTGTTGCATATATTTGAATAAGATAAGATGGATATATCCTACTTTTTCCAAGATCAGAAGTTCCCTCTAACAACGGGATCTCCTTCATTTATTGCTTACTTGAATGTAAACTCTTAATGAAATTAACACGTATACTCATTTTGGGTATATTTTATATTTTCTTCTAACGCATGTAAGAGTTCTAATGTGTTTTTGCATACTAGATTTGTGTAATATACATTTATTACCGACTGGTGAGTTGCCGAATCTTTGGTTTGTGCATGTTATTCTTTGTTGCAAAACTTTGACATTATTATTTTTTTTTCCGTGAACTCTCGCAATATTTACTGTAGTCAATTTCTATTACAATAATTGTAGCAATTATTGTTTTTAAAAAAAACATTTTGCAGCCTATTTGGTCTTTACAGAAGAGATCATAGAGCAAGGAAGAAGCACATATTCTCATATAGTCACACTCTTTGCATCTTTTGGCAGACTAGACTTTGATTATGTCATTACTTATTAATTTTTTTGATAGACTAGACTTGATTATGTCATTACTTGTTAATTTCTAAAGGATATTTGAGTTGGTTCGTAATCGGAGCTTGACCCGTTTTCTTTTAGTTGTGGCACGAGATGAGAAAATACATAGAATTTAGCGCCTGCGGAAAAAGATTTTCATCTGACGTAGCTTGGTTTCCTAAGTTTGACTTGAAAAAAAAATCAAATTTCTGTGACTAATGATTAAAATGTCTGGAATCATTCGAACATAGTAAAAAAATCTGACCAGTTTCATTTATTTGTGGGGCTAATATCCAAATATGACAATATTTAGTGGGTGTTTAGGAGAGCTTAGTTTTTTTCGTCAAACTAGCTTTTTTTATATTTAAGTATTTGGTAAATCATCAATAAGATGATTTATAGGTCCCATTTAAAAAAGTTGGAATTCGAACTTTTGAAAAACTAGTTATAAGTTAACATAAGCTAGGTTCAACGAAGTAAATATTCTATTCATACAAATTCAATAAAACTTTTATCAAAAAAGTTAAAAGCCATAAAATACCAGCATCACTCATTAAGTTCCTGAAAATAGGACCGTCCAAATCACGCTGTGTGGGAATATAACAAAGGGTGAATTACCTTATAACTCCTAGAACTTTTAGCATTTTGCAGTAGTAGACCGTAATAACTTCTAAAAACATACTAAACCTCAAATAACTATTGGAACTGCAAAAAAAAACCCCAAATAAGTTTTAAGTATTTTGTAGAGGACCCCATGACGACATCAGTCCACATTCTGCATTGGCGATGTAGATAGATTCTAAATAGATATGGACCGGTGTCATCATAAGGGCTATCTGCAGAACCACACATATTTATTAGAGTTTCACGCAATCCCGATAATTACCGGGGGTCTATTGCGATTCTAGACGTTATTAGGGGTTTACTGCAAAACAGGGGTCTGTGTAATTTACCCTACAAGAGACCCACGATTACTGTCATATTCTCCGTTTCTATGAGTAGTACTCCACCAACCATCCAAGTACTCGCACATGTTTGGGGATGAACAGTATTTGGTACTTCGCTGACTTTTCAACCCCTCACGAGAAATAAACCCTCCTCAAGAAGTAGAAAGTATGTCCTGCAAATCCCCTAACTATCCAGCCCAAAATGCTAACTCGCCTGCGTTTGGAGCAAATTTTCGTCTTGCAATAAAGTTATCCATAGCCTTTATATCCCCCCAAAAAAAGAAAAATTAAATACGTCCAAAATAATAGAAACAAGCAAAAGTACAAAAGAGCAAGATGCCCAATTTTGACCTTTTGAACTGACCATCACCTAATTCCCCTTTTAAGGGGTTTTACATATGTACCCTCTTGATCATTGTTATTTGCGAATTACACCCCTCAACTTGATATTTGCAAATTCACGCGGCCATGCTGTAGTAACCTGCTGTAATTGCAGTCGTGGATGGATGGGAATCAGGGGTAGAAAAATCAAATAAAGGGGGGAAATGGGGGTATACTAAGGTTTTAGGGGATATTTTCAAATATCGATAAGTTGGGGTTATATGTGTTAAGAGAACACCTCCCCTGCCGTTATTTGCTGTTATGAGCCGACAGCTGATTCTTCAGTTCAAGATCCAACGGCGCAAAACGGCCCATTAACCCGGCAGCCCATGATACCTTATCTGCACGACTATTAAAGCCTGATGATCTCGAAGTACCCGGTCTGCTGCCTCTCGAGATCAACCAAAGCTCGAAACACAACCGGCTTAAGCAAACCAAAATAAACGGCGATGATTGGAGAAGACCGTTAGTTAAAATTGCCCGCGCGGCAGTACACCCGTACCCGACTTCTCGCTATGATGTAGATCTCCCCCCGTGGGAAAATAAAAACCCTAACAGGATCCTCATCGGACAACTAGAACTCTATAAATTCATCAATTGAAGCCAAGTCTTTTCGAGGAATCAGAATCAGCGATTTAGAGCGCTCGAGGTCAGCGATTCCAATCCTTTTCCCTATCTCTTAAAATTTCGATCTTTTTAGTTTTTCTTCGGGTTCTCTAGGAATTGAAGTGATTAGATGTTATTCATGTATCTTTTTAGTCGATTTTCTTGAATTTGTGGCCTTGAGAGATTCGATTTGAAGGTGATCGAATTATTGATCTGATAAAGCTTCGATTTTTTTTACCCTAAAGAGGTGGTATACATTAGTGGCTGGTTTAATGTTCATGCAGGTTTATTTGATTGATAGCATCAAAAGTGGTAATTTAGAGTGTACAGTTGGGTATATTAGGCAATTTGTTCGATTTATATGCGATTGCACATGAGATGGGTTCTCGAGGAGGAATTTCATTTGACCTTAATGAGCCCCCGGCGGAAGAGGAGGATGAGAAGGGGAGTGTGCCTCTTGTTTTGCCCCAAAAGTCTCTTCCAACATCGAATCTTCAGGCCTCCATTTTGCTTCTGTCTACAGAGGCGAGTTCTCGGATAGTAAATAATCATGCTTTCACACATGCATCTTCGGGTTCTGGGTTTCAACCGTTTGTTAGGTCCAGAAACTTGCAGGTTTCGAGGGAAGGGTCAAAACAGAAGGAAGAGGACTCGAATGCGGATGAAGCATCGACGTCTTTGACTGCAAATAGATGTGATGATAGTAGAGTTTCCCCTGTTGACAGAGAAGAAGGAGAACTGTGTGATATGGATGGGAATGATGATAGAACTCAGAATGTTGAAATTGAAGAGAAACATAAAGTAGCTGAAGACAATGAGTGTAGGAATAAAACAAATAACGATTCTAGGTTTACGGGGACTAGCAAAGGTGATGTAGGAGACAATGAGAAAGAAGGGAAACCTGAGCTTGGATTGGAATCAGAAGGCAGTGGAGATTTGAACTGTACTTCTAAGGGGGATGCTGTTGCAGATGGTCCAGAAGAACCTCCTGCAAGTTTGAAGTCTAAAGATATCAAAGGAGTTGAGGCAAGTCATGCAGCAAGAATTGCAAACAACCCTGGAAAGAGGCCTAAGTTCGATGAGCACAGGGAAGCAATGCTGGGAAAGAAAAGGGCTAGGCAGACTGTGTTTATCAATGCAGAGGATGTCAAGCATGCAGGTTCTATGAAGACCTCAACGCCAAAGAGACCAGCATCTTTTCCATCAATCGTTACTCGTACTGTAAAAGAAGCTAGTCGTAATAACTCTGCCGGGAATGAACGGCAGTCTATGACCAAGATTCAGAAGCAACCGAGTATGAACTCAGAATCAGGTAACCGTGTGGAGTGTAGTGACCTGAAGCCTGAGCCAAATGGCGATGTTAATTCTGGGTCACGTTCTCGATCCAAAAAAACTAATGGTAATGAATCCCCATCTGATTTATATTCACCTAGCACAGCTAAAGAGGATTCGTGGAAACAGTCTTCAGAGTCTAGGCAGTTTAAAAACCCACCAGCTTCATCTCGAAAACAAAATGCAACAGGTCAGAGTGTTACTGATCAAAAAACAGGTAGCAAAAAGCACCTTCCCCCTAAGAAGCAAACTTCAAATAATCTACAATATCAAGATACATCAGTGGAGCGGCTTCATCGAGAAGTGACAAACGATAAGTTTTGGCATCATCCAGGTTTGTATTTCCTTGATAAATTGTGACTTCTTTCTTTATGATTTCTTTCTTTACAGTCAATTTTGCTTCTTTTCTTTATGGTACTAGTTTTGCCTGCTAGAATGTAACTCTTGGTTGTTGGCAATGTATAATATGAAACGCGTGCTTATTTAGAATCAAATCAAAGTGATTGGATTAAGCAAAATACCAATAAGTGGCGAGAGTTTGATGCTTGAATCATTTTCTCATCTTGTCTTAAAAGGCAGGGGGAATGGATACCTCTCTGGACAAGTTGCTGTGCATATGAAGCACTGAAAAAGTTAAAACTACAAGAATATATAATTACAGGAATATGTATATTGTTAAAAGGGCTAGCATGTGACACCATTTTGTTAGCTGGTGTGTTTGATGATGTAGAGAACATCCACGCATCAACCCCATTATCTATGGTTGAAACACTGTTATAAATAGCGGTAAATAGCCCCGCAATAGCGGCGCTAATAGCGTTAGCGGTCCCTTCCCGCGACGCTATCGCCCGCTACGCTATTGCGCAATAGCGGTGACATATTGCGGAATATGTCTGTTTGCAAAAACGATCAATAGTGTGTCATAACGATAAATAGTGAGCGATTGCATTCGAAATTTGCTTTTTGACTGCTATTTAAAAGCGGTTTGAGGCTTATTTTTTTTAAATTAAACTCAACCATTGACCATTGCATTCCACCGTCTCCTGTGATTTTCAGCATACTCCTGCCACTTCTCATAGCCTCTGGAACCTATCTTGATACTTCCTCTTGATACTTACTCTCACCTCCTTCACCGTGAGCTCCTCTTAGGACAGTCCTGTCACCGCTAAGCTCTTCTTCTCGAAGACGACGACTTTTTGACTCCTCCAGTCACCTTTGGTATTATGTGATGATTACATGTCTATTTCATATTTAGGATCTCTTTAAATCATCCAATATGTACTTTTAGATTTCTTAGATTTTTCTTTAATTTTTTTTTAGTATTTATACATATCTAAATTAGACCGCTATTTGACTTTATGTTTTTTACCGCTATTTTATCACAATAGCCCGAAATAGCCTTAGCAATGCCTCACCGTTACGCGACGCTATCCGCTATCGATAACCTTGGTTGAAACAAGTTGTCGGTTTTTTTCGCAATAAAACCCATCATTTGTAATTATTAAATGCCCCTTCCTCTCTCTTGTCTTCAGCTGCTATCTTTTTTGCTTCTCCGGTTATCTCATTATTCCTAGATTTCGTTCCACGTTCTTCTCTTGCTATTTCTTCTCATCTCATTACATAATATAACATACTATTGAATTGTTGGATTTCAATTAATGATTTGTCCCAAACCAATCCTGCGCTCTCACTTAGGTTCGCTTTCACTAGTTAGGGTCTCCGTGTATTGCTTGCTTCCCTCGTCGGC